TATATATATATATATATATATATATATATATATAATATAATATAATAAATATATTATATAATATATTATATTATATTATATAATTAATTTATAATATATAATTATTATATATTATATAATATATTATATTATATATATATAATATATTATATATATATAATATAATAAATAAGGTGTCCCAAAAATGTGTCGTAATCCGAGAATGGGAGGATCCTGAGGTAATTTGAAGAAAGTTTGTCCTTGGCGAAAATGCAATCCTCGGCTTTGTTTACGAGTTATTAACGAAAAAGAGTGACCAATGAGAGGTGAGATATGCTGGCGCAAAGCGGCCGAGCCAATGAGCGTAACTGGGCTTCGTGTGCTCATTGGTTCGGTCGCCAAGCGCTGGGCGAGCTCGCCTCTCATTGGTCAGTGTTTTTCGTCAATAATTCGTAAACGAAGCCACGGTTTACATTTTCGCTGTGGAAAAAGTTACTTCAACTGATCCCAGGAACTTCTCATTTCCGGTTTGCGAGACATTTTTGAGACACAACAATTTATTCTGCTTGTCACGGAATAAAAATTATTTACGTACCTCTCAAACTTGTTGCATCCATGACGTCTAAACTGTTGAACCATCCGATGTTATTGCCGTTTTGGGAGTTTGACACCAGGACTGCCACTTTGTCCTCTCCGTACTCGCCGCAAGCCAGTTCAATAACTGTAATCGCGAACAAAATCGCTGAAGTACAGACTTCTACGCATTTCGGAGTCGTTAAAAATTTTCGGCACCCGTTTCGCGTTTCAAGAAACACAGAAAACGTTGTTGGTTCAACAACAACATTAGCAAAGTACATCAAATCGTAGACGAAATTTTATAATCCCATTTTATGCATTCTTTTGACCTATTATTTCGCAAAGCTATTAACAGTAAATTCTGTCCAATTGTCGCTCAGCTTATAAACAGAAATGGACAATTTGGGAAGAGGGGATACGATTGTTCGATCATCGCGGCTCGTTTTTATTGACATAACCTTGTCTATAGAAACGAGTTCTCGAGGATCGACTAATCGCGTCTCCTCTTGCCAAAAATTTTCCATTTCTGTTTACAAGCTGAGTGACAAACTGGGAGAATTTATTATGTATCCTTTTTTCGTCCTACGCAAAAAAAATTCGGCCTCCGTCAACCTTGGGACCGAACGGAAAAGTTATTGTTATAATATATAATAATAATAATGTTATTATTATTATATATTTTAATTATATTTTTTATTATTATTATTATAATAAATATTATTATATTATATTATATGTATAATATAATATTATTATATATATAATAATATAATATTAATATATATATATATATATATATAATATAATATAATAATAATATTAATATAAAGGATTATTATATATTATATATACGCAATCAGTGTCAGACCGGTGGCACTGCTGGCACGCAAAGATTGATGCAAATTGCTGTTTCGTGCGTATAATTAAGTAAGGAGGTTCGTGGTAAGGGAGCGCGTTTTTTACACGTTTTAATTTCATAGAAGGGACCTACTGTAATCGGCTGGATTATGATACATAGGACAGGGCAGCTTGATGTATTCCAAATAGGGCACCAGCTTGTCGGTCGTGCCATGGTATAAGCACTCGCCTTTCGCCAATACGTAAACCTGTCGATGAAACGAACGCTTCAATTATATGCTTGTAATCACTGTGATCGTTCGAGACAAAGTGGCAGAGACGGCAAAATTATTTTTGCGACACGGCTGAAACAACCGAAACGACACCGGAGTGACCGGATTGACCGCAGTCACGAAAGATTTGGACGGTGAGCTCAAGTTTCGTTGACACACTTTGTTCAGGAAAAAATCGGCGAAGTTCGAAAAATTTCGCTTCATAGAAAATATTTAATATTTTGTATAGATTAATTTAATATTTTTTTAAGATTTCGATTTTCGATGGTCTGACCAAAAAATGTTCTCTGTCGAATTTGATTAGTGTTTAACCGGCAAGAAATTGTAATTGTTTAAATTTAAAAACAAATTGATTTTCGATAAAAAAAAAAGAACAAGGTTATGTCAAGGTAGCCGTTGCGATCTCGTAAGAAATGATTGAGAATAAAAAGAAAACTGCATATATTTCATTTCGAAGCTTGATAAATAGTACATAGTGAATAGACTGTACGTATTTTTATCTCCTCATGTGATGTAGAATTTGTGACAAATTAAAATGTAATGTATTTAATATGTACAGGCTGAGTCACAAATTAGTGAGTCACAAAGAACGTTCCCTGTCGAAGCTAATTAGTATTTAACCGACAAGAGATTGCAATCGTTGAGATTTAAAAACAAATTGGTTTTCGATAAAAAAGGACAAAGTCACTGTTATATTTTTAAATGAAACTACGTAATTTTAACTTCATAGTATTATAGGCGACGTCGAGACGAATTCAACGGCCTGCTACACGACGATCTTCGGCTGACATTGAACGGAAAATTGCCATGAATCTATTGCCACGATATTTGCAATAATTCGGCGGCGCATAACACCGAGGCCTTGCATGTAAACATAAACAATGGCACTTGAAGACCGAAGCTTGCTTTCTCTTCGCAATGACCTCCATAAGTCGACACACGATTTTTGTCTCCGGTGAAAATATGGTAAAAACGTGGGGACCAGCAGTGGTCAATTATGGTCGTAATTGGAACAATTATTATAATTAAATTAATTATATGTAATTAAATATATTGCAGCAATTATGATCGTAAAATGAACACCGATACGTATGAATTATGTCTATACTAATACTGATTAACTACTAATTGAATACTAATTTATTATTAAATTAAGGGTACTCTCTCTCTCTCTCTCTCAATTTATATATATCGATATATATATATATATATAATATCGACAAAAAACGATCGCGTTCGAGCCCGTGCAATAAAAATTCGATCGTCGTATATCATTAGCACGCAGTAAAATTCATAGAATTCAACCGATTCGCGGTTGACGAGCGAATTAAAGCGGTCGTCTGTATTACCAGCTTCGCTATGAATATTCAAAGCCACGTCAATTGGAGCTTATTATCGATATTCAATCGCGATTCCAACGGCAACGATTTGTCATCCTGGTGCGCAGATCGTCGTTTTTGCGCAAGATTAGCAAACTGGACCATATACATATACATCAATTATCGACATCGGCGCGAGTTCAAGCTGCGTTGGTTAAAGGTAGAGACATTAAAGGTTAACTGTAACGTAATGACGGTTAACTGAAGTTTACGAGGCGCAGCGGTTGAAATATAAAATTATGAACGCACGTGAAGAATTTGATTTGATATTGGAATTTGGAAAAATTTGGAAGAATTTTGAAGAATTTGGTTTTTCATTTAAAAATTCACGGTGTCCCAAAAATGTCTCGCAATCCGGAAATGGCGGGTTCCTCGGATCATTAGAAGCAACTTCTTCCTTTACAAAAATTGTCTCCGAGGCATCGTTAACGAGTTATTAACGAAAAACAGTGACCAATAAGAATCGAGTACGAAGCCTAGTTCCGCTCATTGGTTCGGTCGCCTCGCGCCAGCTGAGCTCGCCTCTCATTGGTCACTGTTTTTCGTTAATAACTCGTTAACGGTGTCTCGGAGAAAATTTTTGTAAAGGGAAAAGTTGCTTCGAATAACCTGAGGAACCCGCCACTTTCGGATTGCGAGACATTTTTGGGACACCCTGTACAACGGCGATCTTGCTCTTTATCGAAAAGCAATTTTTAATTGAAATCTCACCAATTGCAATTTCTTGCCGGTTAACTAACTTTGACAGGAAACAATTTTTCGTCAGACCATCGAAAGGGGTTGAAAAATCGGGGTGGAGGGGGGCTAATTTGTGATTCACTCTTTATAACGAGAATCTTTAGGATTTCGTAGGGGTTCCTTTCGAACGTATAACAAAATTTGTGAAAGCATATTTTTAGAAGTGCGTGAACGAATGAAAAAGTAATAGTAAGAACACAACGACATTATCACATTACCACATCGAATAGCTGGAACAAGGACGCGCTAGGCTGATGTATCGTGCAGACAATCGTTCTTCCTTGACGCGCCAACAGCTTCAGCAAATTCACCACTTGCATGCAGGACGAGCTGTCCAGACCTCTGCGAAAAGTGAGCGGATTTTGAACGACTCGGTTCGTTCCTTTAACCCTTGATTTGCGGTCACCGGGTCTTTTGTGACTCGGTGTACTTAAATCGTCACCTGATCGGTATATCGTATGTCATATTATCATTTATATTATCGTATCAATGATTCCTATTATAATATATGTTTCGTTGAAAAAGTTTATAGAAATGTTTTTTAAAGAATTAAAAAAAATTAAAATAAAGAAATAAATTATATATATATAATATATTAACAATATATAAATAATAATGTATAAATATTATTATTATATATTATTAAT